CTTTCGGTTGTGCTTTGAGACAGTACAACGACCTAGACGTTTTCCAAGCCCGTCTCCGTGTCTGCGCCGTGACCAGGTGCCTTCTGGGCACTCATGGAGGCCGTGTTCCCGCCCGAGCTGAGGGGAGGCCTGCCCGCAGAGTGCGGCGGCCGTGGCCGCCTGGCCCGACCCTCGCTGCGCGCACTCCGGCCGCCGAGGGGCGGCCCTGCCGGAGGGGCGGCCCACAGGTGCTTGTCCCCTGGTCCCGGAGGCACTGAGGCCGCGGCACTGAAACCTCCGTTCAGGGAGCAAGCGAGGGTGCGACGTCCCTGAGGGACCAGCACACGGAGAAAGCACGTGCCGTACGGCTGGGCACCGGGGCCAGATGCTGACGAGCCCACTCCAGGCCCCGCAGGCGTGCGGCTGGTCCCGGTGAGACCGCCCCAGGCTGCCTGGTCCGCACCCTCCCTGTCCTGGGGGTGGGAGTGGGGGGTGGGGCCGGGGCACCTCGAGCCTAGCCAGGCCCCCGAAGGGTTGCACCTTGCAGGTGGCATCGGGCTGAGGGGACCCGGGTGCCACTGCTCGGCTATTTGCACAAAGCAAACAAGAAGCGGATTGAACGGCGTCTGGCTTCTGGGTGGCGAGGCTTTCTAACCCGGCGTGGGAAAGGCAGAGAAATGGACCGATTGCTTCACGGTGTCGGTGCTGCCGGTTAGAAGCCACGACGCTGACGGACATGGCGCCCCTGGCCGAGGCGCTGCACGCCCCTCGGCACTGGCTCCACCGGGAGGGATGCGTCAGACGCCATGGACAGGAGGGGCGGGCCTAGGGGAGCCCCTGGCGGCCCAGCAGCAGCCAAGAAACCTCGGGCCCACACACCGGCTGCTGCCCACGAACCTGTTGGTGGCTTGTGAATTCCGAGCCGTGTAACTGATTCCAAAAGTAAATAAACCGTCATTTGGCCAGCGCAGTCCTCCCGCATTGCCTCTTTGGGAGTCAGCAGGGCCCGCTCGGAATACCAAGCTCTCCCCCAAGGCGTGCGTGCGGTACAGATGCTTGTGCTACGTATGTGTAAAGCCACCTAGCTGTGAGTGACCTGCTGTCATGTATGTGGAAACATGCACAGGAAAAGTACATGTATATACACAGAGAAAAGACGGGAAGGAATGCACCAAACGCTAGCGGGTCTGGGGTGCAGGGTGGGCTGGCCTCTATTGGGGGCCGGCCCGCCCACCCTGCAGGCTTCTCTGCAGAGTCAGAGTGAATTCTATAAGCTAAATTCTTCCCCTCTTGTCTTGATTGGAGTGGTGGATGCACGTGTGTAGACATGTCATAATCCCTCAGACTATACACTTCAAGTCTATGTGTTTATTACTTTAAAATGTAGCCCAAACCAGTCACTGAGCGCGGCTCTGTCTGGGCCACTGGCTTCCGAACCGGGTGCAGCAGCTGCACAGCCTCCGTCCCGGCCTCCAGGACACCCTTGTTCTGAGCGGGATGTGGGGTGCGGGGAGCCGCCTCGGACGGTGTTGGAAAGTTGAAGAGGGGGCGGGAGTGGAAATCGGGAAAGGTAACCTCGGGTGAGGCTAGGCTGCAGAGGTCAGCACAGGGTCACGTCACCAGGGCCTGGCTGGCCTGCCCTGGCACCCCCCAGCCACCCTCCAGCACGCAGTGTCCTGTGCTGTCCCTTCAAGCTCTGGGCAGGAGGTCACGGTACCGACAGGTGCCCAGGGCACAGATCCTGGCCTGGCTGGGGGTCACTGGGTCCCTGGACAGGCGTGGGGGGAACCAGATTGGCCAAAGTCAGGTTTTCCTTTGAAAGATGATGAAAACGCCAGCACGCTTCGCGGCAGAGAAGCCAACAAGACAGCTGCCAGGGGCCCAGGGAGCTGCTGTCCACCAGGCACCCTGGCTGGGCCTGGCCGTCTAGTCCCCGGACTGATGTCACCACCAGCGTGGTAATGGAGACGGGGCTGGGTACCGTGCTTGCTGCCCTCCCTGAGGCTGGAGGGCTCAGCCAGCTGATAAGCCCAATGCTGGGCCTGCCCTCCCTCCCCCCACCCCCACCGGCCAGCAGCGGCCACCAGATACCCTTATCTGCCCCGCACCTCCCTCTCACCACAGGCGTCAGTCCTCAGCGAGGCGTGGGGAGGCCGTGCCAAGATCCTGCCTGCTGGGCTGTCACAGGGCTGAGCGGCCTGGGCTGCTCTCCCTTCACAAGGACATGGGGCTGATGCCCGGGCTGCCCCTCTCCTGTCCACTCCTCCAAGGGGTGCTGAGATGGGGTCCCCATGTCACCCCTTGGAGGAATGAGGGTGCAATCCCGCTTACCCCAAACCAAACCACTCCACTTGGACCCTGGCCTTCGCCACTCTGTGCCGCCCACAATCCTGTTGGGACCCTGCCCCAAACTCCAGGGCCAGCCCTGGTGCCACCTCCACTTGCTTGACAATGAGGGAGCCCTGAGATGGGACAGCTCCCCCTGCCCCAGCCTCACCCAGTCCCAGCCCAGGGGGTTCAAAGGAGCTTGTCCCCAAAGGGGGGCAATGAAGGGGGACCTCGGCCAAGACCGGCCCTGGGGAACGGGGAGGAAGTCAGCAGGCCCAGGCCCCTGCCAGGTGCCCCCATCAGGGCTCCAAGCCCCTTCCCCGCACCCCCAGGGCCACTGTGACCACCTGGGTACTGGGTTCCAGGTTCTGTCTCCCTCAGGAAATGTCCCCTCCCCCACAGCAGCACCCCGTGTGAGGACGGGGGCTCTGATGCCCCCCATTTTGAACTGGGAGGTGAGTATCCCCCTCCCACACACACACCCTCACTCCCCACAGGTGCCCAGGTTCAGAGAAGACCCCTTACTGCCTCAGGACACACAGTGGGGGGAGGGGCCCAGGATCAGCCACTGGCTCTGCACCCTTACCCTCTCCTTCCCACCAGGGCTGTGCACCCCCACCGCACACGGCCCAGGAACTGGGGCCTGGGGCCATATGCTTTTCAGGGCACGTAGAGCTTGGAAATGGCCCAAAACCCTTTGAACACATGGGACACAGAAGCCCAGGCTGCAGGGCGTTTGTCCCAGGTCACCCTGAGGGTGGGTGGTAGGTACAGGCCCGAGCCAGGTCCACCAAGCAAGCCTTTCCTGCTACCCAGGCCCTTCTGTATCCGTCCTATGGCCCACCAGCCAGAGCCTCTGGCCCCTCAGGGACGCTGGGGGCAGGCTGGTCACCACATCACGCACACCTTTAGCCCTCAGCTCCTGGCAGGACACTGTGTCTGCCCAGGCAGCACGGGTTGAATTTCGCGGCCCAGCAGAATTCCTGGGGCTGTGACGTGTCTGCTGGCAAGTCTGCACCTTGAGAACCTGCCGGCTCTACTGGCTGGACTAGCAGGCTTCCCACTGGGCGATGCGGCCATCACCACCCGTGGGCACCACCTAACACCCCCTGGGGCTGGGGCTGGGCCAGGGACGCTGGGAGGCCCACCCTGAGGGGACTGAGGGCGGGTTAAGGCACAGCTAACCCACCTGAGGCGTGGAGCTGGGGCCAGAGCCCAGGCTGAGTGCCTGGTCATCCTCAGGGAGCAAAATGGGGGTGACAGCACGAGGCCAAGCCTGGGGAGACCAGGTTTGGGGGCAGTCCCGGTGACGCCCAGGGTGGGAGGGGGAGGGTCACTTGGGGTGCACCTCTTCCTGTCGCACTGCAGCCTTCCGCCCTCCTCGCCCTCCAGCCCCAGCCCCGGCCCCTGCGGTCAGTCCTCAGCCCTGCTCAGCTTAGCGGTCACTGCCAGAGGGCTAAGCTTCCAGCAGGTTCTAGAATCTAGATGCAGGCCAGTGAGCTGAGGCCAAGGCCTGCTCTTGGGAGCCACGTGACCCCTCAGCCCCGCTCTGCGTGGGGAGGCCACGCACGGAGCCCAACCGGACCAGAAAGCCTGCCGCTTGGAGCCCAGCCGCCCCCCAGCCCCCATGGGACAGACGAGGCGGAGTCTCAGGTACAGCAACCAATATATGTGAAGTGCTAGCACAGCTCCGAAAATAGTCTTCTCCCGGTCCGGGGCGCCGGGCTAGCTCTTGCCAGTGAGGTCCAGCGGCTGCAGGAAGGGCGGCAGCGGCAGCTCCTCCAGGGCCTCGGGGAAGCGGCCGGGCGAGATGGCGGCGACCAGCACCTGCATGGCGCGCACGAAGAGCGAGGGCGGCGCCAGGCCGGCCAGCCACTGGAACTTGTCCTCGCCCAGCAGCCGCCGCCAGCGCGGCCGGTCGCCCAGCAGCTCGCCGCGGGCCAGGCGGGCGTCGGCGGGCGCGTACAGCACCAGCAGGTCCAGCAGCAGCAGGCGGCGCTGGCGCAGCGCCTCCCCGGCCGCGGCGGGCGCCCCGGGGGCCGTGGGCGCGGGGGCGGCCCCGGAGTCTCGGCCCAGCTGGCGCAGCAGCAGCTGCAGCGGCGTGAGGCCGCCGGCGTCCCGCAGGCCGGGCGAGGCCCCGTGGCCCAGCAGCAGGAAGAGGCACTCGGGCCGCGCCAGCTCGCAGGCCAGGTGCAGCGCCGTGCCGCCGCCCTCCACGCGGCCGCAGCCGCGCCGGTCCAGCAGGCGCGCGCGCTCCTCGGCCGGCAGGTCGCGCACGGCGCGCAGGATGCGGCGCAGGACGCCCACGCGGTCGTAGCGCACGGCCAGCGCCACGTGCGGCCCGGGCGCGGCGCAGCAGCGGAAGCCGGCGCCGGGCAGGGCCAGCGCGCGGCGCGGGAAGGCGGCCAGCAGGTGGTGCGCGTAGGCCCGGTGGTCGTGCACCAGCGCGTAGAGCAGCGCCTCGGACGGCGAGTAGGCGGCGGCGCGGCCGCGCTCGTCCCAGTGGAAGGCCTCGCTGGCGCGCATGTCCTCCAGCAGCCACACGGGCAGCAGGTCGCGCACCGCCTGGTAGAAGGCGAAGGACGACTTCCGGCACTGCTTCTGCGCCCGCAGGCGCGCCGCGCTGTCGCCCTCCGCTCCGCCGGGCCCCCGGGCGTCCCACGGCATGCTGGGGGTGCTGGGGGTGCTGGGGGTGCTGGCGGGGGCAGCGCCCGCCTCACGGCATGGGCCCCGCGGCCAACCACCTGCAGGCAGAGGGACACGGTGAGCGCCTGGGCCCCTTCCCCCCCTACCCTCCTGTCCTCCTATCCTCCCGCCCCCCCCCCCCCCCCGGAACCGAAGGGCCTAAGAGGGATCGGATCACCCCTTACAGGGCCGACTCTACCCACTCCAGCCTCGGACCAGCCCTTCCAGGCACCCTCACAGCCCCCTTCCCTGCCAGACCCCGAACCACGCCCGCATCCTTGCTCCTGACGCGCCTGTCCGCCCTCCCGAAGTCCCTCCTTCTCTGGCAGCTAGGAGACCTGCGGCCCCGTGACCAGGAGACCCTGAGCCCCCAACCCCGGCCCGGGCCCCACCCGGCCAGGCGCATCCACCCCCGGGTGGGGTTAGGAAAGCTGGCCCACGTCTCAAGTGGAGCCAAATCCTTTCTGTAGCCGTCCCTTCTGTAGGACAAATCCCTGTCCTAGCCTTGACCCTGACCTCTGACCCCTGGAGGACAGGGCAGGGCTCTAGACCCAGACCCACCTGGCTCCTGCGGGGGATGCCCTAGCAGACGTGGTCTGTCACTGCCTCTCCGAACCTCAGCTCCGTCATCTGAAGGAAGAGGGGAATGAGGCGTGAACCCCAGAGGCAGAGTTTGGGGGGCGGGGACACCCAACATGTTTGCTGGGTGTCCACACCCCTGGCTCCTGGGAGGAGGCTGGAGGGTGACGTCAACAGAGACGGGGTGCCCCGCACTTCACAGCCTGCGCACCCCGGCGGGACCGGTGCTCTGCGGCCCCGGGGGAGGCAGGTGCCGGGGGGCGGGGGGCAGGGGCCAGGCAGCCCTGGCAGAGCCGCCTCCGCCCCGGTCTCCCGCCTCCCGCCGGCGGCTCTGTCCGCACATGGGGTGTCCCGGCCAGGAGGGAGCCGGCCGGGCGCTGCCCTGGCCCTCTGAGCCCGGCCCTGGTCCCCGGCGGCCTCCCAGGGCCAAGTCCTCCACAAACTCAGGGGCCGGGGACTAAGTCACAGGGGCCCGCGGCCGGACAGCCCCACGCCGGCCCGCGCCCCGGTGGACCGGGCGGACGCGGGGCGCCGGCGGGTTACGTAAAGCGGCGCCCACGTCACCGCATTGAGTCACGGCCGCGGCGGGAGCGGGGGTTGGGCTGGAGGGCGAGCGGCGCGTCCCGGCCGCCGCCAGCTCCTCCCGCGACGCGGCGACCCGCGGGGGCGAGGCCGGAGCTGCGGGCGGCGGGCGCCGCGAGGGCTGCACCTGCGAGCGCGGAGCCCGGGCGGGAGGGCGGCCGGAGCCCGGCGCGGGCTGCGGGAGGCGGGGGACTCACCGTGGGGGCGGCGGCCGCGGCCTGGCTCCCGCCCCTGCGGCCGGAGCGCGGCGCCCGCGGGAGGCGCGGCGGCGAAGGTCCCGGACGGACGGGCGGACGGACAGACCGGAGCCGCCGCCCGCGCCCGCCGCAGCCGCTCTCCGCCCCGCGCTCCGTCCGGTCGCTGGGCGGCGGGGCGGCCCCGGCGGCGGGCGGGCGGGCGCGGGCGGCGCAGTGCGGCCCGGGCCGGGCAGGACCCCGGCCGTCCGCCGCCGCCATTGGCCCGCCCTGCCGGCCCCCGCCGCCGCCCATTGGCCGCCGCGCTGCAGCATTGTTACGTCACCGGCGGGGGCGGGGCGCCGGCGGGACCTGCCGAAAAGTTGGAGAAACTTGAGGGCGCGGGGCGGGCGGGGCCGCGGGGAGGGGGAGACGGCCCGCGGGGAGGGGGGCCCTGGGCCGCGGGGAGGGGGGGCCCCGGGCCGCGGGGAGGGGGGGCCCCAGGCCGCGGGGAGGGGGAGACGGCCCGCGGGGAGGGGGGCCCTGGGCCGCGGGGAGGGGGGGCCCCGGGCCGCGGGGAGGGGGGGCCCCAGGCCGCGGGGAGGGGGAGACGGGGCGCGGGAGGGGGGGCCCCAGGCCGCGGGGAGGGGGAGACGGGCCCGCGGGGAGGGGGAGACGGCCCGCGGGGAGGGGGGCCCTGGGCCGCGGGGAGGGGAGACGGCCCGCGGGGAGGGGGGACCGCGGGGAGGGGGGGACGGCCCGCGGGGAGGGGGGGGGCCCAGGCCGCGGGGAGGGGGGGGCCCCAGGCCGCGGGGAGGGGGGCCCGGGGCCGCGGGGAGGGAGGGAGGTGGCCCGCGGGGAGGGGGGCCCAGGCCGCGGGGAGGGGGAGACGGCCCGTGGGGAAGGGGGGAGACGGCCCGCGGGGAGGGGGGCGTCAGAGGGCAGGAGCTTTGACCCCTAAGGGCCATCTGTCGGCCGAGGTAGGGCCTCGGAGCCCCAGCTCCAGGCGGACTCCCCAGGGGATGGACGAATGGGTGCAGACAGCAATGTGTGAGCACCTATGGGCGCCGTTCTCACAGCTGTAGTGCTGGGAATGATGACCCCAATTCGCCTGCCAGGAAATGGGGCTCAGAGGGGTGGCCTCCAAACGAGCAGCAGCCGGGGAGCAAGCCAGGGGCTCCCCGGCCTTTCTGCAGACACGTGTGGTGGGTGGGGCCCCAGCCTTCCCACCAGGCACCCAAGGTTTGGGGCGCCGCACAGGGTCCCGCTGAGACCCAGCCGGGGGCCCTCACCCACACTCCGCCTCACCCAGTGCAGTGTGGCCTGGCAGGCCCGCCCGTGCCCCCGGCCCCCGGCGACCGGATGGGCAGGAGCCAGGTCACAGGCGGCAGCGCACTCGGAGCTCGCCCTGGCCTGGAGCTGGGCTCCCCGTATGCCCGGCCTCAGCCTTAACCGCCTCCCCGCGGAGCCCCGTTCCCTGCGCTGCTCCCCTGCCTTCGCCCAATGGGGTCTCAGCAGGATGTGGTCCGAGTGAATGGCGGTCCTGGGGCTGAGGGCTGGCCTTTGGGAGCCCCGGGGCCTGGGGGACAGCCCGGAGCTGGTGGCTCAGGCCCGCAGCCGCCCTGCTGCCTGGGCCCCAGGAAGACAAGCCGGAGTGGAGACCTCGGGCGTCTCCATGGCAGCAGGGAGTGAGGGTGAAAGGGCATCAGCTGCGGTGCCAGGCCCGCCCCTCCCTGCTGCCTCCGCCCCCTTCCACTTGCCCTCCTTGCTGGGGTTCCCAAAAGCCCCTTTCCGAAGGTCAGACCTGACCCATTTCTCTGCGGCTTGGGACCTTGCCCGGGACGTGGACTCAGCAGAAAGGCCAGGTGGAAGGGGCACGGCGCTCTGGGCGGAAGGGGGGGACCCAGCTGGAGGGAGCAAAGGTCCCGGAGAGGCTGAGGGAGGCGAACCGCGGGGCGAGGAGCTCCTGACACTCCCAGCGGAAACGGTTGGAAGTCTGACTTATTTCTGACAGAAACAGCGAGCCCAGCGCCGCGGCTTCGCGCTTGGGCGTCAGCCTGGGAGCCAGGAGGTCACGGCCGGATTCCCGCCGGGAGTGCAGGAAGCAGCCGCTCACACTGACCAGGTCCAGGGCGGCCTTCCTTTTATGTCTTATCACTATTTCATAGTTAAACCTTTGAAGAGGACACGGCTGGCTACCTGGAGGTAGGGCCATGCTGTGTGTTGTTTTTGTTTTGATAATAGCTTATTGATTTTTAGAGAGAGGTGAAAGGAACAGGAGAGAAACATCCACTGGAGAACTTAGTAACCCCATCAGCTGCCTCCTGTGCGCCCCCTGCCGGGGCTCAGCCTGCAGCTGGGCATGTGCCCTTGGCTGGAATCACACCGGCCACTCCTGGCTCCTGAGATGCTGAGCTTTTCCTGACGAAAAGGGGGAGTGGCCCCGAGGCCCTGAAGGGACTGCGCCTTCCCGGGTGGGGCTCTGGCCCCTCAGCAGCAGGGCTTTTGGAGGGGACTGTGAGCCTGGAGCCTTGGCACCCTCTCCCTCGCCAGCCGAGCTGCCTCCTGCCCCCGGGAGACCGTCCCTGTGGCTCCTCTGGGCTCTCGCAGGGTCCCTGAACCCGCTGGGTCTGAGGACTCCGACTGTCTCATTAAAGGAGCCGGTAATTTTTTTAAATATATATTTTACTGATTTCAGAGAGGAGGGAGAGGGAGACAGATGGAAACATCACGGATGAGAGAGAATCATTGATTGGCTGCCCCTGCAAATCCCACCCTGGGGATCGGGCCCACAACCCAGGGGTGTGCCCCAACCAGGCATTAAACCAGGACCTCTTGGTTCATAGGTCGATGTTCAACCACTGAGCTATGCTGGCCAGGCAAAATTCTCTCCTGACTCATTAGAATATCTGCCTGGGGCAGCCCTGTCCTCCAGCAGATTATAATGTCCCTTCCTGCTCGGCAGGTTTACGAGGGAAATGCCATGGCTGCCGCGGGCCATGCACGTACGGGCGTAGGCAGCCACCGTCACCGGTCAGAGAGCCAGCCCTGCCGGACCGTCAGGTCAGGGGAGATGGGGCCTGAGAGCCCCAGAGAGCCGCCCACCTGAGCCATTCTCTAGGGGCCCGCGTGCCGCACGGGGCTGGTCTCCAGGCCTGAGCTGCTGGGACTCGTTTTTAAATATTTCAACGTGAAAATGTTAAAAGAAAAGGGGTCCATATCGCATATAATAAAAGGCTAATTTGCAAATCGACTGGTCGCTATGACGCGCACTGACCACCAGGGGGCAGACGATTGAGCAGGAGCTGCCTTCTGATAGTGCGCTCCCACAGGGGGACTGCCGCTCAGCCACAGCCAGGCTCAGGGCTGGCAAGCTCAGTGGTGGTGGCGGGAGCGCTAAGAGGTGGGCCTAAACCATCAGTTGGACATCCCCCCAGGGCTCCCGGAATGCCAGAGGGCAAAGGTCAGGCTGAGAGACACCCCCAACCCCAAGTGCACAAATTCCGTGCACCAAGCCTGTAGTAGTTTTATAAATGCTGGAAGCCACCCACTGGCCTGTTGGGGGGAGAGTCGGCAAGAGGAGGGAGGGTCCCTGGGAGTTTTTACTCTATACCTTGTAGTCATTTGCTTACATATTCACATCTGATCTGTGTAACGAAGGTGGGTTTTCAAAGAGGCAGGTCCCATTGGCAAAATGCTCCTCACGGTCATTGCTTCGCTGGCTTCCCCATGAGTAGGTCAGATTGTCAGCTCACCTTACAGGCAGGGAAACTGAGGCTCGGAGAAGAGGTGGAACCTTCCAGCTGAGGGAAGGCTTCGGTGTGGGGAGCTCCTGAGCCCCTGGAGTTTCAGACCACTCTGTTCCAGCTGGCGAGTCCCTCCCCACTCACAGGATGGGGTCACCCCACTCACAGGATGGGGTCACCCACTCACAGTATGGGGGTCACCCCACTCACAGGATGGGGTCACCCCACTCACAGGATGGGGTCACCCCACTCACAGGATGGGGGTCACCCACTCACAGGACGGGGTCACCCCACTCACAGGACGGGGTCACCCACTCACAGGATGGGGTCACCCCACTCACAGGATGGGGTCACCCACTCACAGGATGGGGGTCACCCCACTCACAGGATGGGGTCACCCACTCACAGGATGGGGGTCACCCCACTCACAGGACGGGGTCACCCCACTCACAGGATGGGGTCACCCACTCACAGGACGGGGTCACCCACTCACAGGATGGGGGTCACCCCACTCACAGGACGGGGTCACCCCACTCACAGGATGGGGTCACCCACTCACAGGACGGGGTCACCCACTCACAGGACGGGGTCACCCCACTCACAGGATGGGGTCACCCACTCACAGGACGGGGTCACCCCACTCACAGCTGCAGGTGGTGGTCCCTCTGTCCCGGACCGGAGCCGGTCGCCAGCACACCCAGCACCCTCCCTCGTTAATTTAGCCACAGACTGGCCCTGAGCCTGCCCTGAGGACCTGGGGTGGGTGGCAGGAAAGGGCACCTGCACGCCTCACATGGAGTCCGAAGACTGTGCAAACGCCCTGACCACCTGTCACCACTCCATCCCCCTCCCAGACCCCTGCCCTCAACTCCCCTGCTCCCCCCCCAGCCTGAGAGGTCCTGGCAACACCCATCAGCTCGCCCTTCCTCTGCCCACCTGCTGCTGCCCGTCTCACTGCACCCCTCGGCCTCAAGGCCAGACCCTCCACGTTCACCGGGAACCTGGCCTCGGGCTTCGGGGTGTTCCCTCTGCCTGCTCCCCCCCAGGTCTGCATGGCCTCATTTCAGGGCCACCTGCCTAAAGGAGCTGGGGAGCAGTGTCAGTGCTCCGAGGGTTCCCCCTGGGTCAGTCCCAGAGGGGCCCCTGTCCCCACAGGAGAACAGGTGCCATAAAAGCTGAGGCTGAGTTATTAGGCGGAGGCGGGAGCAGGCTGGTCAGCCTGGAGTGTGGGTGGTGCTGGAGCCAGGGGTGCTCTGGGCAGGGCAGGGCACCCGTGATTCACCCTGGCTGGTCAGAGGCGCACTGCCGGGAGCGGGGACACTGGGAGGGGTGCTCAGCGGTGACCCAGCCTAGGACCTGTCCCCTCCCCCTTTCCTAGCCCAGGCCCTGCCCCCCCACCCCCCTCCCCACCCAGGACCTCTCCCCCCTCCCCCTCCCCACCCAGGACCTCTCCTCCCACCCCCCTCCCCACCCAGGACCTCTCCCCCTCCCCCTCCCCAGCCCAGGACCTCTCCCCCCTCCCCCTCCCCAGCCCAGGACCTCTCCTCCC